CACAGAACCAGGCCATTTATTGGGACGTAATATGACTGGCAATCTCTACATTTAGAGACACTGGAATAGCAGGATGGAAGTGTGTTGGCAAAGCAGTATGGGGAAAACTTGTACAGCACCTGTCTGCACTATGCCTAGCTCTGGATAGTTCTATTAACCCCTGGTTTTGAGACTTCAATTCATGTACAAATTACAAAGCAGACCTTCTAGAATGTATTTCATATGTAAAAAGGATAAAAGCAATAAAGAGTAATTGCTTCACTGTGGAGACTTGATGCAAGTTGCCCTTCCTTAAAGTTGACATCAAGGGCACCGAGACACAGTTTCTATGTTCAACATGCTTATGAGTCTCTATAATCAATCCAGAATGGAAACCCAGGAGGAAAATTGGAGAGGCAGAGCCTAGGTTTCCAGCCTGCCATCATTGTAATAACACTAGTGCTGATGCTCCACTTAGGCTTTTGCGCTGAAGTAGGATATGATGAAATTCTACCCACTGCAGAATGAAATTCTCTGTCCCCTTGTAAGAGGTATATTCATTTCAGCACTTTGTTATTTAGTACCTGTTGCAGTTAGAAATTTCCTGTTGTAGAGGTATTTTGGAGTTTTATATGCAACACTAATTTACTGGCTTGGTAAGCTGTATGGCTGTGTTCTTTTATTAAAATGTGATGTATAAAGTATGTTACATTTTAATAAAAAGCATTTCAGCTGACAGCTTGTTGCCATTCTAACATGGAAAATTGAAGTTTATAAATGCAAGACTCCACAGCATTCCTCAAAATTCCAGTAAAATATTCCCCTTCGTTACTTGGAGCACCACATCAGACCCCTCCCAGAGAAAGAGCCATGAATCATCAGGAAAATAAATGTTAAATCCTTGCCCCACCCATCACCAAGGGCTCTGTCCACAGTGACACAACTACTATTCTAATGCATGGTGTGAGGGGCAGAATACAGCCACCAAGCATGAGGGGAGCCATTGCTCTTCAGGGCTCACAGCAAACCAGCGTGCAGTATGTCTGAGAATGGAGGCAGGCTGGGGGAGAAACGGGTCATTTCTCCCTTGTGGGAGGTCAGCACCTGCTGAAATGGTTGGAAAGTAATCAGTCTTTTGGGGAGTGCTGGAGTATGAGTGGCTACAGTGGTAGCCATGGAGAGGCCACTGCCACTCTGGCTGGGGAGGTCAAGGATTCCCTTCTCACACAGACCATTGTGGATTTTTGTATATATAGATTAGCTACTCAAAAGCCATGCAGTTTGAAGATTGGATCTTGAACCTGCCACAGGAAGTGGTTACTTAAATAATTGGCACCACTTGCCAAAGAATAATTGCTCACTAGCAGTATAGAGCATAGAATTATAGAATATTAGGGTTGGAAGAGGCCTCAGGAGGTCATCTAGTCCAATCCCCTGCTCAAAGCAGGACCAACACCAACTAAATCATCCCAGCCAGGACTTTGTCAAGCCGGGCCTTAAAAACCTCTAAGGATGGAGATTCCACCACCTCCCTAGGTAACCCATTCCAGTGTTTCACCACCCTCCTAGTGAAATAGTGTTTCCTAATATCCAACCTAGACCCCCACACTGCAACTTGAGACCATTGCTCCTTGTTCTGTCACCTGCCACCACTGAGAACCGCCGAGCTTCATCCTCTTTGGAACCCTCCTTCAGGTAGTTGAAGGCTGCTATCAAATCCCGCCCCCCCCCCCCGCTCTTCTCTTCTGTAGACTAAATAACCCCAGTTCCCTCAGCCTCTCCCCATAAGTCATGTGCCCCAGCCCCCTAATCATTTTTGTTGTCCTCCGCTGGACTCTCTCCAATTTGTCCACATCCCTTCTGTAGTGGGGGGACCAAAACTGGACACAGTACTCCAGGTGTGGCCTCACCAGTGCCGAATAGAGGGGAATAATCACTTCTCTCGATCTGCTGGCAATGCTCCTACTAATGCAGCCCAACGGGTAACAAGGGCACACTGCTGACTCATATCCAGCTTCTCGTCCCAGGTCCTTTTCTGCAGAACTGCTGCTTAGCCAGTCGGTCCCCAGCCTGCAGCGGTGCATGGGATTCTTCCTTCCTAAGTGCGGGACTCTGCACTTGTCCTTGTTGAACCTCATCAGATTTCTTTTGGCCCAATCCTCCAATTTGTCTAGGTCACTTTGGACCCTATCCTTACCCTCCAGCGTATCTACCTCTCCCCCCAGCTTAGTGTCATCTGCGAACTTGCTGAGGGTGCAATTCATCCCATCATCCAGATCATTAATAGCATCTTCAAGGATTCAGGATGTATCCTGTGATGTGTTGAATATAGACCAGCGAATGGCTCTGATACATCCTTATGTCACATAGCAATGCTTTGATGAGAGGTAAAAACATCACCTTCAAGGGTTAACTCTAAAATCTAGTTTTCCTGCAAGTTACTGAAATCTGCTGGAGAGTCTCCTGGGTTCCAGTTCTTTCTTCCAAATCTACCATCTTGCTATAGAAACAGAGACCGGAAGACATTTGTTTCATAGTCCTATTAAACCTGCTGGGGTGCTCCTGTTTCTGCCAGAGCAGGTAATGAATACGTGGTGGTTTAAAGCAGTAGTTGATGCTATTAGAGAAACACAGACAGTTTAGAAATGTCTGAGCTATGGAAGTCAAAACTTAGTAGTTTAAAAAATCTGTTAAACTTTAACTGTCCTCAATATATAGCAGGGACATGGTGGGAGGCACAGAAGAATCTATGATTGCTAATAGAAAATGAAAATCTTCAGGTAGCTTTTACCCCTGAAATACAGTTTTAAAAAGCTTTTAAATCTAAAACTTTTGGAATTCTGACAGATAAGTAGGTTCTAGATGATACAAGGCTTTCTAGAACATAACTAACATCTGGACATGGACCTGGAAGCAAAGAGGAAACTTGTGAGCTTGATTATATTCTTTTCATTTCAGACCTGTCATGCTTTGAATCAAAAGATCACACACCTTTTGCTTCAGGAATTGATGTCAAGGGAAATTTGCCTGGCTTTGTTTTTAGTGACAAACTGGAAGCTCAGCCCAGGTTGGCTGAAAGAATCAGCAAGTGGCAAAATCAGCTCTGAGTGATTCAGGGTTTTACTTCCAAAACATGCAAAATTGAAAGCACACAAAAAGAGGTATGGTTTGGAGTTAGTTCCATTGCTAAGTTTTTGGATTTAAAACACAAAGCCAAACTAGAAGGTTGCAAATTCAAGTAGATTAGACTGTTCAGTTCCATGCAGCTGTACTTGTAATATCACATACTGCTACTTTCATTTGGAAAGACTGACTAAAGGATATAGCAAACTGCAGGAATTTGTGATATTACTGTCACAATAGGAATGAAGTTAACTCATGTCACTAGTTTATAGCATATAAAATATTATTACACTCATTATAAGAATCCTGACCATAAAAACATCAGTGTTGCACAGTTATATGGAACTGAAGTAATACCTGTAATTCCCCATTGACTACAAATCATGCCCGAGGGAAGTTGTGGAGCTCCAGCATGATGAGGGCAGAATCTAGTCTGCAGAAGCTTTACTATTGGTGATGACACATTAGAAGGATAAGAATGGACTTGACTTTCAGATGAAACCATATTATTACCACCATGAACTGAGCAAATTTGACCAGAAATCATTGAAACACGTTAAACGTGTACTCTTTCACTTCTCCAATTAGAGTAACTTTTCAAGGCAGAATTATACTTCATTCAGCAAAAATTTCCTTTAATAACTAAAAAACAATCTTGAGCATTTTAGGTAGTAATTGGTTTTCCCAGTAGTGTGTGCATCTATGCAAAACACCCTGGAGCTATATTTTACACCAGACATCACACGACACACACTCACTATGGATTTCTCTACACTGGCACACTCACAGAAGTTAAGATTATTCAAGTAAAGCTGTGAAGTTAATGTGCATAATTAGAAGTGCATTAAACCTTTGTGTGGACATTCTGTTTCAGAAGTAAAGTGGCCGTAGTTTGCTGTTGCTTAATCCTCCCCAAAAGACATCTATGGAAGGTGCCACATAGTGTTTGAGAAAAAAGTCTACACAAATACAGTATGTGCAGCAGCAGTGCAAAATTCCCTCCACTGAACAGGAGGGGATAACCCGAAGAGTGAAACTGTAATGCCTGTTATATTCCTGGTCTCTCTTGTGTCTACCAATAATAGTGCTAATTAGCATAAATCAGATATGGTTCAGTAGGAAATGGACTGACTAACTTCATATACTCTCATCATATGGTAACCAACTACTTTCATATATAAACAGTCATTAGCTGGTAACAACTTCCAGTAACTACGCAGCTGGGCTAGCTTTCAGTGTGTGACCTAGAGGTGAAAAGCTTTATATTCCTACTACCAACCCTTCAAGCCATTCAGTTCCTCCAGTATTATGTTTTCTTTCCATGGAAAGAACCAAAAAACAATGTAAATTCATAGCAAATGAAGAAAGCTAGAATGGCTCCCTCAACTCATGCACATTCACTTTACAATTTAATCTAATTACCTCTGTTATTTTAGACATTTCATGAGAAGAGAAAAGAAAAGAATCCACTGTTTGTTTTCCCTGCTGGTTTTTTTGAAAAATCCCATGAAGTGGTATAATTAGCCCGCAGATGCGTATGTAGGGAATATATTTTCCATAGCTCTTTCAAACTGTCTATTGTGAACTCAAGCTGCTAAAAATGCACTATATATTATACAGTATTGATTTATTCATTTGTTCCCCACATATAGAATGAATAGAAACAAATACATGGCTTGCGTACAATTTAAAATGACATCTCCTCTGGGCAGAGTAACATAGGCAGTTACAACCTACTCAGGCACAAGAAAAAGGCCACAACAATCAAAAAATATAAGGAAAATATCAAAGTACAATGATTCATTCACTGAAGTCAAGGGCAAACTTCCATGGACCTCAACTGGCACAGTACCTAGTGCCCTTTTCCTGTGAAATGAGTACCATCAAATGTAACTTACAGCTCAGTCACATCCTTGGGAATGCCTTTGGGCAGGATGCGCAGCCCTTTGTTACTGCAGCGCACTACTGAGTCCACACAAGTACATTGATCAGGACAACGAGGAGAGAGCAGACAGCTGCTTTCATCATTACCTGCAGAGAGAGAGAGAGCATGAGAGGATCCTGATATTTGGGAAGGAAATCAACCATGCAGGCCAGGAGGGCTCGCTTCAGAGGTAATTGCTCGCATCTAATACAAAACAGGGACATCCATAAGTCTACAACAGTTGGGTTGTCAATTAGCCCCTAATATTTAGTTTCGCCCCAACATCACATACTGGATCACTGGTATCAGGGTGCAAAACTGTTCTGAAAAATGGTGGCAATTGTTTTAAAAGGAAAAGGAAACAAAGTTTTATAAAAAAGTTAGCCAGCTTTTTGAAATTCTACAAATCTTCACCTATTAAATAGCCTCTCCCTGTCACCCCAACACACGCACCCTGTGTTAGCTGAAACGGAAAACTTTACCAGACTATCAGCCTTAATCTTATCTTGACATAAGATTACAAGGAATCTTTTTTTTAAAATAACTATCTAGCTTTATTTCCTCAATGATGTAAATCTTTCAATGTTAAGCGTCGACTTTTAATGTTGGCATGGCACTTCATTTATCACTTTAATTGAAAAGCCTCATTGTTGACAAGGATAACTAGGCAAAAAACAAACCGAGCTATGCTCTCAGAATTGCTGGCAATGCATCTGTGCATGCATAAAAATATCTAATACTCTTAAAGTGGATTCAAACTTCCATAAACAACAGATTAAATCTCATAATTGAAGAACAACAGGGTTTGCATGGAAGAAACCAAGTCTTTGAAGTTAAGAACATTAAAGCATGGATTTTCCCCAAAAACAACACGCTTCACAAAACATTAGGAAAATACAAACTGTAGTATCAAGATGCATATGGAAGGAAACATTTAGTGAAACATACTCTAGATGATCATGATAGGAAGTATATACATGTTTATGCATGTAAATAGACTGAATGTATTGAACATTGAAATAGTAAAGTTAAACCATATGACCATGTTTCCATTAGATATTTTCATTTCTTTAAGACTGATACAAAGACTAATTGAGGCAGAGATGATTTTCCTTCCTTCATGGGTCTGCCAGGTGTATGCTTGAGCCTTCAGGTTTAAACAAGACTGGAAGCCCTGCTAGAGGTCTGAAAAGTAATCCTAGCAACTTTCACTCATTAGTGTGCATGTCCGAAAAGGAATGGTTTGCATTAAAAATGACGTAGGGAAAAAGAAGAAAGGGGAATGGGAAAATAATCCCATCATTACAAAACAATCTATGCCACCAAGATATGCATGTAACTTAACTAAAAAGCCACATGATATTTTACTGTAACTCCTGTTCTCCCCTGCTCACTTCCCCCTATTGTTTACTAGACTCACTCATTACTTGCTAATCCTGCAAATGCTTAAGCCCAAGAGCAACTTTATGCACTTGGGTAGTCCCACTGAACCCAAAGGAGATGAATGTGCATTAGGTTACTCCACTTTCACCCTGCACTACTGCCCCCAAATCTTGCTTCACGTGGAGGTAGAGGCACAGGGAGCACAAACCTCCTCAGAAACTGTCCCCACACAGAGCAGAACTGAAGCATTTCTGCAAAGTCTCTTGGATCACAGACCGTCATTTAGTTCTGTGTTCGTACAGTGCCTAGCATGATGGGGTCCTGTTTCATGTCCAAGGCTCCTAGCAGTTACAATGATACGAACAATAACAACAGCAGCAACACCTGGGGCCCTCCATAGCAGAGGAGGAAGGGTCAGAGTTTGCCCCTAAATGGCCACAGCCATTCATTACACTTCACTGAATCTTTCTGATTGATTTCTAAATCTCTAATATTCCTATATTCCCATTATATTTCTGCTAAGACTTCATAGCCCCAAAATCTAGTCGGTTCTCCAAGAAAGCCCCATTCCCACTGTCCTCAGAGGTTAAGGGAATGGGAGGAATAGTCAGTAACTGCACTGGCATTATTCTCAAGGAAGATTGCTTTGTTTGTCAAACTCCCTGGCAAGGAGCTGAATGCATTTGGATTCAAGGGTGAAAAAAAGGTGTATCCTGAAAGAATCCAGAGAAACCAGTCTCAGCTGATTGCACAAGGAAGAACTCATACTTCTATCTAGGCTTGAAGGGAGGGGGCCCAGAACATGGGAATCTACTAAGGTGCCATCGCCAATAAAAAAACAATTCCCAGATGATATAGAACAATGACATTTGATTAGAGACAGTTCTCTCCCTCATGACTACAGTAGAACCTCAGAGTTATGAACACCAGAGTTATGAACTGACCAGTCAACCCCACACCTCATTTGGAACCAAAAGTATGCAATCAGGCAGCAGCAGAGACATTAAAAAAAAGCAAATACAGTACAGTACTGTGTTAAATATAAACTACTAAAAAAATAAAGGGAAGCAGCATTTTTCTTCTGCATAGTAAAGTTTCAAAGCTGTATTAAGTCAATGTTCAGTTGTAAACTTTTGAAAGAACCATCAAAACGTTTTGTTCAGAGTTACGAACAGTTCAGAGTTATGAACAACCTCCATTCCCGAGGTGTTCATAACTCAGAGGTTCTACTGTAAATTTAATTCAGCTCTTTTCATCATGATATCGTGGTGCTGATTAGGTAGAAAAAACAGCAGAGATACCAGTCTGGTAGTGAAATACCAAGTCCCATCAAGTTTCCTTACCATCACAGGTGAAGTCCTGTATGGCCACATCTTGAATTGGAATCTCCTTTAAGAAAGAGGGTTTCTGGCAACGTGGATTTCCACTGACAATTCTCCTTTTTCTCAGCCATTTCCCCAGCCATGCCAGGTGGCAATTACAATTAAAGGGATTAGACAGCAAATTACTGAAAGGGAATCAAAACAAAAACACATTGAACATGGTCAGCTACTACAGACATTAAATGACTAGCGAAAGCCCATATATTCAGAGCTCAAGGATTCCACTCAAGGCTCTGCCCCTTATTTTCAATGAGAGCCTGGCCAATTCACTTAGGCTTGTTCTACACAGAAATTTTGTACCAGTATAACTGTCTATAAGGGGTGTGTGTTTCATACTGATACAATTCCTAGTGAGGATGCAGTTATATCAGTATTACATTGATATAACTTATTCCCTTTCCCTTAAGGAAATAAACTATATTGGTATAAGCACATTTATACTGGCATAACTGTGGCCACACTGGAGCAAAAAGGTATGTACCACTTTACCAAAGCCTTTGTGTATAGATAAGCCCTTGATGTGAGTGAGTTTACCCATCTAGAAAAGGCTGTGATAGTACCATACTTACCTGCCTCACAGCTATTGTAAGATACACACCCTATCTTGTAACTACTTCTGAAATATCTTTCAAATGCAGTCCAACTGTTGTAGCACAGCATGCGGCTATGCTAGCATTGTAACAATTCATGATAAGAGACCATTGGATGGACTGCTTAAGACTACGTCTTCACTACGGGGGGGGGGTCGATTTAAGATATGCAAATTCAGCTACGCGAATAGCGTAGCTGAATTCGATGTATCGCAGCCGACTTACCCGGCTGTAAAGACGGTGGCAAAATCGACCTCTGCGGCTTCCCGTCAACGGCTCTTACTCCCACCTTCGCTGGTGGAGTAAGAGCGTCGATTCGGGGATAGATTGTCGCGTCCCGACGGGACGCGATAAATCGATCCCCGAGAGGTCGATTTCTACTCGCCGATTCAGGCGGGTAGTGTAGACCTAGCCTAAGAGGGGTAAGTGTATATCACAGTTTGGGCTAACAGTTGTTAGAAAAAGAAATCCCTATGTACTCCAAATATCAACAATCATGCTGCCAAGCAGGATTCCTGAGGAACTGTGGGTAACAGCTGTGTTTTACAACACATCTGAATCTCTAATACCATTGCTGAAGTCACTGTAGACAGAACTGTAGTTGTTAGTTCTTAAAATATTTCTTAAACATTTCTGGATCCTTTGGATGAAAGCTGCTACATGTAAGGTGGTGTTATAACATATTCATCAGCCTAGCTCTAGGATAATTGGAAAAAGAACTGAGAGAGTCTTGAAAGAAGATAAATGCTACCTGAGACTACAGCTAATAAGTTGAAATGTCTGTAATTTGTGTTTGTGTTGTTTTAAGCTCAACAGCAGACTAAGAGAAGAGGGTGATGTTCTATCTGATGTATGAAAAGCAGCAGTGGCTTCAAGATTTTGAAAGATATTCCCAAGGAAGGAGAATGAACATGGGCTTACCACTATCCCCCAAAATGTCAAATGAGGGGCCCAAAATGAAAGCTAGGGAATCCTCAGGGCCCCCTGTGAAACACGATAATTTGTGAGTGAATACATTCTCTGCCAGAGAAAAAAATCAATGCAATTCCTCTGTTGGGCAGGAGATCTCCAGCAAGACAGCAGGAATTTTAAGGCCCAGTGAATGCAGCATCTCTTGTCCATGCAGCAAGTGTGTGGATTTAGCTGGAAACAGTTGGAGGCGTTTGATATCCTACATGCTCTTAAAAATCTGATGTCCCAGTCAAATAAAGCTATATCAAGGTTTCATCCAGTCAATGGTCCTTCAGATTGCTATGGAATCTTATATAAAACATCCGAGTGAACTGTGAGGAAAATGAATAACACTGCTCTACAGCCAAAATGCTTCTGAAATAAATGTAGTCAAACTTTACTAATTCTGGGTCACTGAGAACGAAAATGATGCTTAAAATTGTTGATTGGCTCTAGTTTTCAAGATATGCTATTGGGTCAGTATATACAACCCTTGACTTGGGAATGGCGGAGGATAAGTGAGTTATAAAGGGAAGGGATCTCAATTTAAACCAGAAATGACTAAAATACATCTTTGACTGGATCTATGAATAAATCTATGACTGGGTTTGGACAGTACTTACTTTTTAGGCAAAACAATGAATGATACAATCTGAAGCTGGTATTGCGTCATACATGATATGAATTGCATCATGTTATTCCTAGAAGTCATGGATGATGCAATCATAACGAAGCTTACATCACTCTGCTGAACAAATTGCCCTATATCAGCTCTAGAAATCATACAGTGTCGTGCTCTCTTATTTGTCAGTGTTTGATTTTGCAAAGGGACACATTTGTGTTTAGCCAAAGTGAGCAGAGATGCCTCGTACTTGTGTGAACAGTGCAGATAACTTCTGCTATGTTTGTGGTGAAGTGACTTTTGCAACACAAAAGCGCAGTATAACCACTATGGTTAAGAAAGCCTATCACCTTTATTTTGGCTGCAAAATTGGAGATCAGGACAAGAGGTGGGTCCCACACATATGCTGCAACACTTGTGCAACAAATCTTCGCCAGTGGTTGAACAGGAAAAGGAAATCTATGCCTTTTGCAGTGCCAATGATTTGGAGAGAGCCAACAGATCATACCAGCAATTGTTACTTCTGCATGGTGCCTCCATTTGGGAAAGGTGTGTCAAAGAAGAAAAAGTGGACTGTGCATTATCCAAACATTCCATCAGCTATACGCCCAGTACCCCACGGAGAAGGACTGCCGGTTCCTGATGCACCAGAATCATTCTCACTTGAGTCAGACAAGGAAGAGGAAGAGGATGAAACTTCTGGTCCTGAACCATCAATGTCACAGGACCCACATTTTCTCCCATACTCCTCCTCTGAAGCACACCTCATAACACAAGGTGAACTGAATGACCTTGTCAGGGATTTGAAACTACCCAAGAGTAAGGCAGAGCTGTTGGGCTCCAGACTTCAGCAGTGGAATCTCCTGGCAGATGATGTTAGGGTTTCCATGTCCTGTGACCATCAAAAGGATCTTGTCCCATTCTTCTTCATGGAAGGTGATCTTGTAGCCTGCAACAACATTGATGGTGTGATGGCAGCCCTCAACATCGTTCACAATCCAGATGAGTGGAGACTGTTCATTGATTCATCAAAGACGAGTCTTAAAGCTGTTTTACTGCATAATGGCAATGTTTTGCTATCAATTCCAGTTGGTCATGCAGTCCATATGAAGGAAACCTATGACAACATGAAACAACTTTTGAGGTGCATAAACTATGACCAACATCAGTGGCAGCTTTGTGGCGATTTGAAGGTTGTTGCTCTCTTGCTTGGTCTGCAGACTGGATACACAAAGTACTGCTGTTTTCTCTGCGAATGGGATAGTCGTGTAAGAGATTCCCACTACATCAAGAAAGATTGGCCACTCCAACAGTCATTGGAGCCTGGGAGGAAAAGTGTTCAGCATCCACCACTTGTTGAATCAAGGAAGATTTTGTTACCACCCTTACACATCAAGCTGGGTCTGATGAAGAACTTTGTCAAGGCCATTGACAAAACACAAGCAGCTTTCAAGTACCTCCGTGGAAAATTTCCAAGGTTAAGTGAAGCTAAGATAAAGGAAGGTGTCTTTGTTGGTCCTCAGATTCGTGAACTTCTTCGAGATGATGCATTTGACCATGCACTGCGTGGCAAGAAAAAGATGGCATGGAAAGCCTTCCAGTTAGTGGCAATAAATTTTCTCAGAAACAACAAGGCAGACAACTACAGGTTGTTGGTGGAAAACCTCCTCAAGGCATACAAAAGCCTTGGTTGCAACATGTCACTAAAGATCCATTTTTTGCACTCTTATCTTGATTTTTTTCCACCGAACTGCGGAGCAGTTAGCGACGAGCACGGCGAGCGATTTCACCAGGACATTGCAACAATGGAGAAACGCTATCAGGGCAAATGGAGCCCATCAATGCTTGCAGACTATTGCTGGACAGTGACAAGAGATGCTCCATTTAATGAATACAAGAGACAAGCCGAGTAGACACTGAATAGGACTAAACTATGTACATAATAGTTTTTTGCCTTTTGTTTCATAATAAATTTTATTTATATAACCCTTTTGCTGATTTTTAAAGTGTTACATAAACAGGACAGGTGAAATATTATCATGTAAAGCAACCATAAACACAGGAAAAGACCTAGGTTTACAATTTATGATTAAAACTCTACTATCTACACAATATACATAGACATAAAATGTAAAAACTTAAATATCTTAGAAACAGTAGCCAATCAGTTGTTTTAATTGTCATATTTGAATTCAGCACATCAAAATACATAATAAATAGCACATTTTATCTCTGAAGCAGACGACTTCTCAAAAATTGTAGACCAGTGTAATCATACCACTTCCCAGACTATATAGTTTTGGGCCAACACCACATACCCACAATATGGTTTACAGCCACTCTTAGAAAATTGGCTAATATTTTTAGAAAAAAAAAACACCCTAATGCTAGCAATAACCCAGAGCAATGGGTGTGTAATTACAAGTCGGCCTAGCACAGACTATTGAAATTTATAGTTAGAGTAAAAAAGGCAGAAGGGAACTCAGCACAATGTGGTTCAACTACCAAAAACCCCCAACTTTCTTTGTCTCCACTATGACTCCACTAACCACTTCATTGTCAATAAAGAGGACTCAAAATGAAGAGGAAAGGAGCAGCTTTCAGAGTCAAAAAGTCATAAGCAAACATCTTTTCTCAGGTGAAAACAGGCACTGAAAGCATCAATGTATTTCTAGTTATTTTCATACTAAATTGTTTTCCATTTTCTTTCATCCCTAATAGGACCACAGACAGGATATCCTGTATATTTTCAAAATGGACTTACTTTGGCACAAACAATGTTTCCATGAGCCAAATGTTTAAACCTCCAAAGCCAGGGCAGCCAGTGCTTCACAGACCATTTGCTATATTGCCCGTAAGAGACTTGAGTCATGTTCACACATAAATCCAAAGAACAAAACACTCCACAATTTGGAGCAGATTATATGTGTATAGAATGAGTTTCTTGAAGAAAAGGCTATAT